TAAGTATTTGATCCCCTAGCAACCAACAATAATTCTGGCTCCCACAGACTGGCTATGTGCTCATGTGGTACACAGATTAGTCCTCTCAGTTTAAGAAGGTGCTCTTAACGACAACTTGTTATGTGTATAAAAAACACCTGTTCACAGAACCTTTCTTGGGTGCCACCATGGGCAAGACCAAAGAGCTGTCAAAAGACGTGAGGGACAAGATTGTAGACCTGCACAAGGTTGGAATGGGATACAAGACCATCAGCAAGAAGCTTGGTGAGAAGGAGCCAACTGTTGGAGTGATTATTCGCAAATTGAAGAAATACAAATTAACCATCAATTGCCCTTGGTCTGGACCTCAGTGCAAGATTTCACCTCATGGGTTAAGGATGATCATGAGAAAAGTGAGGGATCAGCCCAGAACTACATGGGAGGAGCTTGTGAATGATCTCAAGGCAGTTGAGACCACAGTCACCAAACAAACCATTGGTAACACAATACGCCTCCATGAATTGAAATCCTGCAGCAACCGCAAGGTCCCCTTCCTCAATAAGGCACATGTACAGGCCCATCTGAAGTTTGCCAATGAACATCTAAATGATTCAGAGAAGGACTGGGAGAAAGTGCTGTGGTCAGATAAGACCAGAATTAAGCTCTTTGGCATTAACCCGACTCGCTGTATTTGGAGGAAGAAAAAGGCTGACTATGACACTAAGAACACCATCCCTACACTCAAGCACGGAGGTGGAAACATTATGCTTTCGGGCTGTTTCTCTAAAGGTACAGGCTGACTTGTCTGCATTGAGGGGCAAATAGACAGGGCCATGTATTGTAAAATCTTGGATGAGAACCTTCTTTCCTCAGCCAGAACACTGAAGATGGGTCATGGACGGGTCTTCCAGCATGACAATGACCCAAGGCAACAAAGAAGTGGCTCAAGAAGAAGCACATTAAGGTTATGGAGTGGCCTAGCCAGTCTCCAGATCTTAATCCTATAGGAAATGTATGGAGGGAGCTGAAACCTTGAGTTGCCAAGCGACAGCCAAGAAACCTTAAGGATTTAGAGAAGATCTGCAAAGAAGAGTGGACCAAAATCCCTCCTGAGATGTATGCAAAGCTTGTAACCAACTAAAAGAAACGTCTTACCTCTGTGCTTGACAACAAGGGTTTCTCCACTCTCACGTCATGTTTTGCTTGGGGATCAAATACTAAATTTTACTCACTGAACTGCAAATCAATTTATAACATTTGTATCATGTGTTTTCTTTCTGGATTCTTGGTTGATATTCTGTCTCTATCATTTGAAATACAAGTTTGATAAAAAAAAAATAGACCCTTCATTTCTTTGTAAGTGGGCAAACTTACAAAATCTGTGGGGGGATCAAATAATTATTTTCTCCACTATACTTCATACTTTATCGCAACAACTGGTCTACGTGTGAGTTCTCTTTCCCTTTGGGCATCGAATGCTGGGCCCCACTTACAGGATGCTCAATTTTCCTTGCAAAACTCACATAACGATATTCTTTCTGCCACACCTTTTTTTTTTGGTTGACAACATGCTACCAATTGGAAATTCATTTATTAAGACTTTACGTTTTGCTGTTGGAACTGGTATTTACTTATTATAAGTTATGTGGTGCTGCCATTATTGTGTCCAGTCCCTGAAAAAGCTATGATAGAAAGTGAGTCCACCCCTAAGTGACAAGGTCCAAACTGGGCCCGAAGTGTCAATATTTTGTGTGGCCACCATTATTTTCCAGCATTGCCTTAACCCTCTTGGGCATGGAGGTCACCAGAGCTTCACAGGTTGCCACTGGAGTCCTCTTCCACTCCTCCATGATGACATCACGGAGCTGGTGGATATTAGAGACCTTGCGCTCCTCCACCTTCCGTTTGAGGATGCCCCACAGATGCTCAATAGGGTTTAGGTCTGGAGACATGCTTGGCCAGTCCATCACCTTTATCCTCAGCTTCTTTAGCAAGGCAGTGGTCATCTTGGAGGTGTGTTTGGGGTCGCTATCATGTTGGAATACTGCCCTGCAGCCCAGTCTCCGAAGGGACACTGCAATGCACTGTACTCTGTAACGCACTGGACACCAAAATGCACTGTGTACTCTGTAATGTACTGGACACCAAAATGCACTGTACTCTGTAATGTACTGGACAACAAAATGCACTGTACTCTGTAATGTACTGGAAAACAAAATGCAATGAGGGCAAAAGGTCCTCCAGAAAACTCTAACTTCATCTTAATGAAAACATAAGAAAGAAATGTAGACTTTCTAAAATTAGAACAGTGCTGGGTGGCCAGTTTTAACACAGATAGTACTTAATAGATTTTGTCATTATTGAACAATTAGCCTGATGCATAAGCTACTTTATGTAACAAACCTATTAATGTGCAGCATAATGGCTTAAAGCAAACTTGTGACAAGTATGAAAAAAACTAAAGAACCACTAAAGAAATTCATTGTCATAGTAAGAATACCTGTTTTCATAAGAATGCTTTTCCTCCAGCACCAATCAGAGCTGACTTAAAGGGTAACTCCATTTTCATTGAAAAAAAAATATAGAAAATTAAAAAAAAAATAATACAGCATATGCAGTACAAGTACTACACAACCATACTGTAATTTAATGTTGTATAACATTATCTCTCCATTTCAATCTGCAGTGCTGTAATTTTCATGCAATATGGCAACCTGGAGGTCTGGAACGCCTACAAAATGTCATTTCCTGCTTGTGTGATTGGATCATAAATGTTCTGTCTGCACTAAGATACAGGTTATATACAGCTTTATACAGATTGTAGGTATTCTCTGCAAACAGGAATTTCATTTATGGTGAGATACTCTATAAGGGGTAATTACTTATAAAGGGATGCCGACCTTGCAACATTTTCCTTAGAACTCTGAAAGTGCACCAGGTGGTTATAATTTCAGCTTTACTATGAATTGAAATAACACATTTGTATGATGTGTTTTCTTTCTGGATTCTTGGTTGATATTCTGTCTCTATTATTTGAAATACACGTTTGATAAAAAAAATAGACCCTTTGTTTCTTTGAAATAGTTCATTTGGGCCAAGCTGGCACAAACAATTTCCTTTACATAACAATTTGCAAGGAGTTGCTTAACAGCAGGTATTATCACATCGCAGGGGTCCTCAAACTATGGCCCACGGTCCAGGGGCGGACTGACACCTCATGGGGCCCCCGGGCAATAGGGGATCATGGGGCCCCTGTGTCCTTGCCCAAACTCAAAAAAGCCTATGAAAAAGGTACCAGGGGCATCCCATGGGGCCCCCTACTGTCCCCTGGCCCTCTGGCAGTGTCCGAGTTTCCAAATGGTCAGTCCGCCCCTGCCACGGTCTGGATACAGCCCACCAAAGATGTTTATTCAGCCCACCGGGCCAGCCGGGAAAAAAAAAAATTGGGGGCAAAACCCCCCCCCAGCTCCGGGCGGCAAATAACTAGGCTATTCACTGGGTCCTCGGCCATGAGGACCTAGTGAGCGGCAGCCTGGAAGCCCAGGATTTCACCTACTGCAGCCAGAGCAGCAACAGGAGAGAAGGAGCTCACACCAGGCACCAGGTACAGTGCATTGCAGTGTCCAGTGTGTCAATGTACAGTGTATTATGGTGTCCAGTGCATTACAGTGTACAGTGTATTATGGTGTCCAGTGCGTTACAGTGTACAGTGCATTTTGTTGTCCAGTGTATTACAGTGTACATTGCATTTTGTTTTACAGTACATTACAGAGTACAGTGCATTTTGTTAACCAGTACATTATAGAGTACAGTGCATTGCAGTGTCCCTTTGGAGACTGGACCGCAGGGCAGTATTCCAACATGATAACGACCCCAAAACACACCACTGCCTTGCTAAAGAAGCTGAGGGTAAAGGTGATGGACTGGCCAAGCATGTCTCCAGACCTAAACCCTATTGAGCATCTGTGGGGAATCCTCAAACAGAAGGTGGAGGAGTGCAAGGTCTCTAACATCCACCAGCTCCGTGATGTCATCATGGAGGAGTGGAAGAGGACTCCAGTGGCAACCTGTGTGAAGCTCTGGTGACCTCCATGCCCAAGAGGGTTAAGGCAGTGCTGGAAAATAATGGTGGCCACACAAAATATTGACACTTTGGGCCCAGTTTGGACCTTGTCACTTAGGGGTGGACTCACTTTTGTTGCCAGCGGTTTAGACATGAATGGCTGTGTGTTGAGTTATTTTGAGGGGACAGCAAATGTACATGTTATACAAGCTGTACACTGACTACGTCACATTGTAGCAAAGTGTATTTACAAAAATGTGAGGGGTGTACTCACTTCTGGGAGATACTGTATATATATATATATATATATATATATATATTTATATATATAGTGACAGTAGGCAGGTAAAATCACCTGGTTGCGTCCTGGATGGACGATACATTTGTCCAATGTTTAGACTCTATGGGGATTTGTTCCACCAAGGGGAAGTGCTGAGTCCTTCAGCACTGAGGTAATGAGCCCAGCTGAAGGTAGTGGGCTCATTAAGGCCATTATAAAACTTCCCAGCATGCTTAGGGAGTTGCTCCATCCTGGAACCAGATCTGTGCCTGAACTGACTGGGGAGCAGCAGACTGTGTGCAGGGAGACAAAAGCCTGTTTGGTTAGCCTCCAACTAACAGGGACTAGGTATAGCATCAGGCTGTACCTGGTGGATAGCTAGGGAAGCTATTTGTACAGTAAGTAGCCAAGTTGGCCAGGATTTTATTTGATGTTTCTTTTTGGTTTGACGTTTTCCTGTAAATATTGTAAATAAACTGCACCTTTTTGTTTTTTACCTCCACTGTTGTTATGCTGTGCCTGTGTTTTTGTGTTGTGCACCCATCCAGGGGGTCACACACACACGCTGCCGAACGAACCCCGTTACAATATATATATATATATATATATATATATTTACACCGTTTTTTTTTTGCTCCATAAGACGCACTTTTTTCCCCCCAAAAAAGGGGGGAAAATGTCAGTGCGTCTTATGGAGCGAATATGGAGCGGCCGGTCCGGTATTTCCACTGCCGCCGTGTCAGAATACCGGGCCCGCCGCTCAGCTCTGCAGCGGGACCTTATGGAGATGACTGCTGACCTTTGGGGAGGGGGGAGCGGGTACCTGAATTTGACAGGTACCCGCTCTTACTTCCGCAGAGTTGTTCTTTGACCTTACCTGTTCCTCTATCCAGCGGCGCGCTGTCTTCCCGGCTTCTGTAGTGTGGGCACTGGGCTTGACAGCCGGGTGCCAAGTGCGCATGCGCAAGAAGCGGTGCTTTTTGTGAATGGTAAGGCGGTACCTGGGACACATGACAGATCCCAGAAGCCGCCGGACCAATCACAAAGCGCAAGTGCTTCTCGCTCATGCACACTGGGCACCCGGCTGTCATGCCGAGCGCCCACACTACAGAAGCCGGGAAGACAGCGCGCCGCTGGATAGAGGAACAGGTAAGATCTCGCTGCAGAGCGGACACTAACTAAAGAACAACTCCGCGGAAGTAAGAGCGGTTACCTGTCAAATACAGGTACCCGCTCCCCCCCCTCCCCAAAGGTCAGCAGTCATCTCCTGTACTGTCTGCAGTCTCTGGTCATCCCTGTGCTGTCTGTCCGCAGTCTCTGGTCATCTCCTGTACTATGTGTCCGCAGTCTCTGGTCATCTCCTGTACTGTGTCCGCAGTCTCTGGTCATCTCCTGTACTGTGTCCACAGTCTCTGGTCATCTCCTGTACTGTGTCCGCAGTCACTGGTCATCTCCTGTACTGTCCGCAGTCTCTGGTCATCTCCTGTACTGTGTCCGCAGTCTCTGGTCATCTCCTGTACTGTGTCCGCAGTCACTGGTCATCTCATGTACTATGTCTGCAGTCCATTAGTTCAGAATTTTTTTTTTCCTGTTTTCTGCCTCTAAAACCTAGGTGCGTCTTATATGGTCAGGTGCGTCTGCAGTCTCTTGGTATGGAGCGAAAAATGCGGTATATATATATTTATATTTTTTTATTATTATTATTTTTTATTTGGAGGATAGGAGAGCTTTTTTATTTTATTTAGAGTATTTTTTTTAGTTTAGTGTTCCCTGTATTTGTGGCTCTTTGCCTATTTTTGTACGTATTTTTTTTTCTTGGTGTACTGGTGCTTTCCTTTGTTATTTTCTTTTTCGCTGTCTGTTTTCTTCTTCTTTCTGTGAAAGAAATATAAAATAATAAAGGGCTTTTTTTCTGGCACAAGAACAGGTCCATGATTTTTGAAAGGAGTTTCTGTAACCCTCATGAGCCATTTAAAGCCCATTAAACCACTTTCAGTTTGACCTCCCTATTGGCTTTAATGTGTTTTGCTAGAACATCCATTTTATTAGAACGGAGAAAGGTAAGAATCTGCAATAAAGAGAGCTACATCTTTGCAATTTGGACAGTTCACATGGAGGGGATTCATTTTTTTATATATTTTTTTTAACAAAACTGTTGTGCAGCACTGTAAGAACTCATTCACATTACCAATCATGGCCATACACTGCCCAGATCAGCATATTTCTTTGGCAGCTAGACCAGGTAGTTGTTATCAACTGTGGATAAGAAACCTATACAAATCAATGACAGGCTGACACTATCTATGTGTAGATGGGGCCACTCACCCTGCATGTAGGGGTACCTTTTTGCATGTGACCACACTCATCAATGCCTTGGACTAGGTGGGGCCGCATTCATGTGAGATCAACATTATTGTGGTTCCCTGGCTTAGAGATGAGCCATGCAGTTGTGTAGTTGTGTGACCTGCAGAGTTCCTCTGTAAAGCCTTCTGTCCCATGTCCCTACTCACCTTCCTCGTTGTATGTTGCATTTAGGAGAGCCACCAATGAGCCCATGCCCTCTCCACCAGTCCAGTGTATCTCTGTTACCTCACTCCCTGTGACAGAATGGGGTCCAGTGGAGCACCAGCACGGGCCTCATGCTTGCTCTAACTTAGGTTCTTACACTCTCCCATAGCATCCAGCCAGCCTGTGGGTCCACATGTGCTTTACGGATCCTGTTCTTCCATACGCCAGAAACCATTATGCACCCCTTTGAATTACTTCAGTCCCGGCTTTGGAACAGTAACTCTTCGTGGCAGAATAAATAAAAGATACAACATAGTCCAGACCCTAAACTAACTAAAAGAGGTGGCTTCCCAGGCATTCCTTTTCAGGTGTTAGTGGCGATCTCCATTGACTGGTAGTGTCCATTGGTACCCCCCGTGTCTTGTGTGGGGTTACATGTCCGATCTTGAACTCCTGGGCTTCATGTACTTGGTGTGTTTTCTCTTTAACTCTTCCTCAGGGCTCCCTCATGAACTAGACCTTCCCCCATATTTATGTATAACACACAGGGTGGAAGGCCGGTCCAAGACCAACAGAGGTCCTAGAAATGAACCCTTTCCCCATCCTAGGCAGACCACTAATAAGGCTAGCACTTGCTCCCAGTAGGCACCTGCTTACACACGGTTGTTCAAGGAATGCTTATAAATGGCTAAGGACTGATGAGTGGCACTGTGCACAAACTGTTTTTGCACAGTGCCACTCATCTATCCCTAACCACAGGTTATAAACCCATGTGCAATTTCTAATGGACATCTGCAGAGCCTCTCAGCACAGGTACGTAAACGTACATACACTATATAGCCAAAAGTATTGGGACACTCCTCCAAATCATTAGATTCAGGTGTTCCATTTACCCTCCATGGCCTCAGGTGTATAAATCAAGCACCTAGGCATGCAGACTGTTTCCACAAAACATTTGTGAAAGAATGGGTCGCTCTCAGGAGCTCAGTGACTCCAAGCGTGGGTCCCGTGATAGGTTGCCACTTGTGGAAATAAGTCTAGCTGTGAAGTTTCCTGGCTACTAAATATTTCACAGTCAACTGTTAGTGAAACCCTGAATGGACCAGACAAAGCAATCCCTGCTCCCTTGATTACAGAGGGAGCCAAAAACTAAATGTACCTAGCCTAGCATCCTCTTGATTCGTATGTAAGATGATACTGCTATATAATTGATTAAAACAGCCCTGCTGTTACCTAATGCTGAACTCCGATCACATAAAAAATATAGTTTTGAATTACTATGTTGATGGTTTCTTAAAGTAATGAAGTATTATCCTAAAAAAAAAAAAAAAAAAAATTAAAATTTTTCAAACATGTATATACATCAACTCAGGTATGGCAATAGATGATCATTAAAGTGTATCTAAACAAAAAAATGTAATACATTGAGGTTTACAGGTCCTTAGATAGGGGCCGCATTGGGTAGCTACGTTCACTTCTCCAATGTACCTATTGAAGGAGCCATGGTAGCCTTCTTTAATTATGTCTGCCTTTGTTCATCTCCATATCTCATGATATGGGGGCTGATGGGACTAGTAGTTTATAAAAGCAATATTACTTTTGCTTCTCGTTATACAACCAGGAAGTCACAATGACACAGCATTTCTAATAAGATCAACAGATATTTCCTGTATTTGCTTTTTAGCCCAAAAGAGAAAATGAATACAGGGACCACGAATGCTGCACTATATTACATTCTTCATCTTGGGTTTGGTTATCCATTATTAATCATATTTTACTTTAAATCATATTTTACTTTAAATTTGACAGGTACCCGCTCCCACTTCCGGTCCGATTGCCTAGACGATCGGAAGCGGAAGGTGTCCTCCCTCCCTCCCTGTAATCTTTTGGGACACGTGACAGGTCCCAGAAGACTACAGGACCATTCATGAAGCTCAGCGCTACTCATGCATGCACAGTGGGTACCTGGCATCTTCAGCTTGCACCTTCACAGCCGTTTGCCCACATTGAAGATGCCAGCCTCCTGGAATACAAGACGGCCGGTGAAACGGGCTGCGGGGGACACACCATGGGACCGAGGGACAGGTAACTGGCTGTTTTTTTTTAAAGGTCAGCAGCTACAGTTTTTGTACCTGTTGACTTTAATTTTTTGACAGGTGAGTGTAACTCCGCTTTGATGCATAGAATGCATTAAGGTAAAAAAAAAAAAACCCTTTGCCTTTAGAACCGCTTTAACCTCCTTAGCGGTATTCCCGAGTGTAGCTCGGGGTAAAGTTTCAGTACCACAAGCGGTAACCCTGAGCTACACTCGGGCTTACCATGCGGTGTTGCTCAGGGAGTCCCTGCAGCACTTACCTTGTCCTTCACTCCCACGATGTGTCCCCTGCAGCGTCCCCGGCCATCTCCTCCGGCCGATGCCGGCATCTGGCTTCCGTGTTCCGGTCCCTGTGACATCGAGACGTACGGCGGGAAATTTGAAATTTTTTAAAAATGTCATTTTTGCTGTCATTGCTGTTTCAATGCATTTCACATATATTTTGTCCCGAGTGCTTTGTCCGGCGCCCTGCCTGCATTTTGAATGTTCTTTCTGCCTGGAAACTTAGAAAAGTCCATGGCGTCCAGAAAGCGTCCCTTTACGTCAAAAGCAGTTTTAGAACAGCGATAGTAAATCAGAACCACTTGCAGAATTGAGTGATAATGATTCGTGGGGGAAATTTGTCATTAGACACTGAAAACGATTTGCGACTTTGCTCAGCGATGTGCGAATTTGCCTCTGTATTTAAAATTTCAGTGTTTTTGGTTTGATTATATTATTGAATTAAATGTATTATTATTATATTATTATTTTTTTTATGATTATTTATTAAATTATAATTTATGATTTGATGTTTCAAATTTTATCATCCCCGGGATGTGTACTAGACTCTTGTTCGGACACAATTTCAGTGAGTTATTCCTAAAAAATTACAGCCTACAATAAAAAAAACGACATATTTCCATGCAAAAAATGGTACCGCTTTCAGCACAAAAATCGGAAAGAATCATACCGCCGAGGAGGTTAATGCATAGAATGCACTAAGGTAAAAGAAAAAAACCCTTTCCCTTTAGAAACCGCTTTAAATGCACATACCTGCAGATTCCTTCCAAAGCACTGGGGTTCACTTATACTATACTAATGCATACAGCAAATTATATTTTGGTGCACCCCCTCTTGCCTCCTATACCTCCATATTGGTCTGTAAGGCTGCTCACCACATTGCTGCAACAACAAGGAGAGGACGGGGAAGGGATTGGTGTTGCTTTAGTAGCTCCTGGCATGATCTGGAAGAAATTGGCGGACATGAGCGTGAATGTTTAGCTTTTACATGGCCAGTTTTGGTCCTTTAAAATAATGCTGGGTTTATTTTAAAAATGATAGAAAATCCTAATACTGCTGCATTGCACAGCTGTCTATGCAGACACATGTCAGCTAATATATCTCCTATAATAATGGACTTTGTGTTGCATTGTATATTTTGAGACCTCTTGTAAATTCTATAGGCTTTGTTCCGCCAATGCCCCCCGTGGGGGCTCTGTCGTTTGCCAAGGACGGTAATATAGTACACATGCAGAAGTAATGTACCATTCCAGACACTATATATGACCTAGACAATTCAATTTACAGTGCTCTCCAGAGCCCCAAACTTACTGCTGCTATAAAGATTTGAGGAAATCGTCAGAATATACGACTCAACATGAAGAGTGCGATTAAATGCTTGCGCATTAACTGCAAACTCAGAAGTTCAGAAGTAGTCATTAAGTGGCACCTGGGCCTTCTGTTCTGTTCAGTACCGAGTTTTTACGGTAGATTTAAAGATGCTATTTTAAAACAAATTTCTGTGTCAGCTGCATAATGTTGTACTTGGAAGGGTCTAATAGTATACATAAACTTTGTTTAAAAAAAAGGCTAGCTTTGCTTAAAGGAAAGTATGGTGTACCTCCAGTGAGAACAGAAATTGAATTATTATTGCATTAAAAAGTAATTTTTTATGTCACTTTTTTTGCAAGATTGTGCTTCCATATATTTTTCTTATTGTATTAAGTATAAAGATTGGTAGATTAGCCAATAGAGGGAGCTGAACTCAATTTTAAATCATTCTATCTTGCTTCTTAGCAGTGGGTGAGATAAAAAATTCTAAATGGCCAACAGTTTGTGAACACTTGACCATTATAACTACACTGGCCACTTTGTTAGGTACACCTGTTAAATTGCTTGGTGCCAGAAATTGCTAATCAGCCAATCACTTGGCAGCAATTCAATGCATTTAGGCATCTAGATGTGGTGAAGACAACTTGCTGAAGTTCAAACTGAGCATCAGAATGAGGAAGAAAGGGATTTAAGTGACTTTGAACATGGCGTGGTTGTTGGTGCCAGACAGGCTGGTCTGAGTATTTCAAAAACTGCCAATCCACTGGGATTTTCATGCACAACCATCTCTAGGGTTTATAGAGAATGGTCCAAAAAAGAGAATATATCTAGTGAGTGGCAGTTGTGTGGACAAAAATGCCTTGTTGATGTCAGTGGCCAGAGGAGAATGGCCAGACCGGTTTCTGCAACATTCAGATGGTAGGGTCAGAATTTGACGTAAACAACATGAAAGCATGGATCCATCCTACCTTGTATCAACGGTTCAGGCTAGTGGTGGTGGTGTCATGGTGTGGTGGATCCATCCTGCCGTGTATCAATGGTTCAGGCTGGTGGTGGTGTCATGGTGTGGTGGATCCATCCTGCCGTGTATCAATGGTTCAGGCTGGTGGTGGTGTCATGGTGTGGTGGATCCATCCTGCCGTGTATCAATGGTTCAGGCTGGTGGTGGTGTCATGGTGTGGTGGATCCATCCTGCCTTGTATCAACGGTTCAGGCTGGTGGTGACGGAGGTGTAATGGTGTGGGGGATATTTTCTTGGCACTAGCAAGGTGTACCTAATAAAGTGGATCCACCCCCTACCCACCACTCAGTACTGCCCTTTTAGAGAATACAGAACCAGCCATCATTTTGTGGTGCTAGGTAACTTGTATGGAATTTGTTAATGATAACAAGGAAAGCAGTAAAATATATCCCATTCAGCTACCAACAGCAACAATGTACTAGCCACAACAAAATACCCCCCCCCCCAACACAATAGACTCTCAGCAGCAACAACAGATCTCCCTGCAACCAGCATCAATAGACCCCCCCAGCAGCCAGCAACGATAGACCCTTCCCTTAACAGTAGATTCCTCCCAGCAACATAAGATCCTCCCCCAGCGAAAACAGATCTCCCACCAGCAACAACAGACCTTAATGGCATCAATAGACACCCCCCAAAAATTGATCCCCTTCCAGAAATTATAGATCCCCTAGCAACCAGCATCAAAAGTTTCTGCAGCATGAGGCAGAATCCCTTGCCATTACATACATTCGGTCCTGGAGGTTCCCCCCTGAAAAAAAGTCCTGTCGTACATGCTCCAGTTTTTGTAAATCTTCACCAAAGTGTACTGGATAGAGGTTGATTTACTAAAACTGGAGAGGGCAAAATCTGGTACAGCTGTGCATGTTAGCCAATCAGCTTCTAAATTCCATAGTTCTTTGTGTATATGTTCTTGGGTTTTAAAATGGTTCAAAGATGGGGTACAGGCAGGGACTAAGAAGCAAAAACTGTAGTTGATAACGAGACTAGGTTCCTTAGGATCATTGTTGTGCGGCTATATACTTTACAATGCATGCTATTCATTGAAGGCCTATCTCATTTCTGTAACTTTTCAATATACTTATGTTTGTTTTTTTGATGTTTAAAATTATTTTTAATATTCATTTAGTCTTGTGATGTAACCTTGCCAAAATCTATAAATAAAGATTATACACTACATTGCTAAAAGTATTGGGACACCCCCTCGAAATCATTGGATTCAGGTGTTCCAATCACCTCCATGGCCACAGGTGTATAAAATCATCACCTAGGCATGCAGACTGCTTCTACAAACATTTGTGTAAGAGTGGGTCGCTCTCATGAGCTCAGTGAATTCAAGCATGGTACTGTGATAGGTTGCCCATCTGTGAAATTTCCTTGCTACTAAATATTCCACTGTCAACTGTTAGTGGTATTATCACAAAGTGGAAGCAACTGGAAATAACAGCAACTCAGCCACCAAGTGGTAGGCCATGTAAAATAACAGAGCGGGGTCAATGCGTGCTGAAGTGCACAATGCGCAGAAGTCGCCAACTGTCGGCAGAGTCAAAAGTTAAAGACCTCCAAACTTCGTGTGGCCTTCAGATTACCACAACAACAGAACATTGTATAGGGGTGGCGGTGGACGTGGTATACTTGGACAGGGGGTGGTGGTGGTGGACATGGTATACTTGGATAGAGGGGTGGTGGTGGACATGGTATACTTGGACAGAGGGGTGGCGGTGGACGTGGTATACTTGGACAGAGGGGTGGTGGTGGACGTGGTATACTTGGAAAGAGGGGTGGCAGTGGACAAGGTATACTTGGACAGAGGGGTGGCAGTGGACAAGGTATACTTGGACAGAGGGGTGGCTGTGGATGTGATATACTTGGACAGCGTTTGACACAGTTCCCCACACAAGGCTAATGTGTAAGGTAAAGTCTTCAGACTTGGAAAAATCTGTATGTAAATGGATAGAGAACTGGCTAAAAGATCGTATTCAGAGAGTAGTGATTAATGATTCATACTCTGAATGGTCTATGGGTGTCAGTGGTGTACCCCAAGGTTCAGTGTTGGGACCCTTACTTTTTAATACATTTATAAACGATATAGGGTCTGGGATTAAAAATACCATTTCAGTCTTTGCAGCCAGACCAACTATGTAACTATGTAAGATGAAGAAGTCTTCTCTTTTACAAATTAATCTGCAATATTGCCATACAAGGGAATTCAACCCTGCAAATGCTTGACCTTCTCTAAGGGAAAATGCAATTGCTGACAACATTTAGGCACATCAACAAAGCACAAGCAGTTTTCTTCTTTACCCCCAGCCTAGCCTCTACAAAGTGGAGATATTATCACCAGTGACTTCTATAGCATGAATCATATGATCTTTCTCTATAGTAGATCAA